TGATTGTTCACCTGTCAATCACCTAGAGTACGAATCACATTCTCACAACAAATTATCTAGCATAACGAAAACATTTCATACAACATACAGTTCATAAATCTCATTCTCATGGCATTTTAGATATTTGCTACATTATACACAACATACATATTCATTTGATCTCTAGTCATGTGGTTGCTTGCTTCATTGTCTAGGTACCACATGTTGGTCTCACTCGGTCTTCTTAATTTGCGAGGAAGTTCACCGTAACCTTCTCTTCATTAAGAATCAAGAAGTTATGCATCTTCTTGGCCAACATCAATGTGAGCTTTTCATCATGCGTGAATGTGAGGTTTGCCTTCTCATCACGCTCCTTGTTGTGCCGCAGCATAATACCGTATTTTCCAACAGAGTAACACTTGATCATACTCTTGTTCTTCTAGGTATTGACATTGTCACGGGTTGTAAGATATTTTCCCTCGCTTCCTCACCTTCACATCCGCGTCCATGCCCACCACCTCTATTTTTCTTATTATGGTCATTGCATTCATTCGTACCTCAAAAAAAGAAGAATCAACCGCATCTTTCTTTTTCGTTAGTTTTGGTCGCTCTTTGTGTGTGAGTAAAAGGCGTTTGTTAGATAAAAGCTATGATTTTTCCTTATTTAGGTTATTCATATGTTTCCTTTAAACTTAGTTGTTTTTTTGGTTTTTGGATATCTGAATTAACGCTGAAGTATAATGGGATAACATATTTTTTTGCTGGCCATTCGGGCGAACTTTGTGAGCATGATTTGTGCCACTACAGTTAATTTTAGATTATGATGATTATTTAAATATGTCAACAGAATGAAAATAATGATCCATTGGGTCTTCGGCGCATACTTTCTCTCTCTGTTATTTTTTCTTCTAACAAATTTCTTTCGGCCGTTTTTTTTACTCCGTTGACGATTTTCCCTCAATTGTTAGAAGTCAACCGCATTTATCCTCCTCTCAGTTGCCATAGTTACGAAATTTCTCCTCATGGAATTTAAGACGACTAGGGACTCACTCAACTTTGAGGTAATCAAACTGCTCAATGGAGGTAACAATCTATATGAATCTCAGGGGGACGACTCGAAGGAACTTCTTGACGATGAAGATCTCTTACACCTTGTCACATAACGAACAGATGCAAGTGACGATCATTGTCAACTTCATGGCAAAATCATCTATTGACTCATTATCCTATTGGGTTTTATGTCCTAAAACTCATAGTTTGTAAACAAAAATATATTCTATTTTCAATAAAGTTATTATCGTTGTTTATTCAGTAAAGATTGTTATTGAATAAAGTGAACTTTACGATCATTAATCTAAATCCAATAAACTAAGAACACTCTCGTTATAGTATGATTACTTGAACTATATGCAGAGACATAAGAGTTGATCAAGTTCAAGTATATAGTCAAAATGATCTATAGTATAAGGATAAGGTTGAGTACCTTATTCTAGGGACACTATGGATGCGGATATAAACAATGTGATTACTAAAATTGTACATGTGGAGACAAGTGAGTGGGGGCGTCCTATGCAATGAGTATTGCATAAGATCGGACCATGAAGAAAATCACTCTCATTTTATAATGTCGTTTACTGTTTAGACTGATTTTCTTTTGATTCGATGACCTAGGTAGCTCGATCTTAATCCTGAGCTAACCATGAACTTTTGTTTATCAGAATTATCCTTAGATTTGCATGGGTGAGAGTGGCTCAAGTTCGCAGACTCAATAGGCCTCCCATTTCAGGGGTAAAACTGGGTAAATGACTAGGGACGTGGGGTGCAAGATGAAATTCACTCCTACCCACTTTTAGGGATAAAAGAGAGGTAGTTCCCTTAACTACTGACTCCAGGTCTTGAACAAGGGGCCCCACCCTCTTATTGGTCTAAGAGGGATCCGATTTACTGGTTGGACCACAAACCAATTGTTCATTAGAGGATCAGTGAGACATAAGAAACAAGAAGTAACTTCAGGGGTAAAACGGTAAATTGACCTAACTCTAGTTACGAACAACCTATGAAGGATCGACTTACTAATCATGATTATATCAAATGGACAGAAATATATCTATAGTGAGGGGAGTGCAACTACTAGGCTATAGTGGAATGTCCTAGTAGTTAACGAATGTTGGTTAACAAGGTTAATGAGTTTAACCGGTTTATCTTGGATCGTTGGTGCCCATGATCTATAGGTCCATTAGGTCCCTCTGCTAGCTCATATCGGACTAAACCATAGAACAGAGTAACGAGTGAGTTCAAAGTGTTCGAATTCAAATTAGGGAGAATGCGCTATATATATACGACATATATAACCACATTTTTGTTTTATTTACGAATTAAATAAAAAGAGAGAATCTGAGATATTTAAATAAGATTTAAATATCTTAATCAAATATGTGTCAGAATTAATTAGGATTGACATTAATATTAAATATTAATTAAATAGTTTAATTAATCATTTAATATAACTTTAATTTGAAATTAATAATTCAAATTCATTGTTGAATCAAAATGAAGAAAGTCAAAATGTTGACTTCATTTCATGGAAAAATCCATGTTAGTGGAATTTTGATGTGTCAAAATTTGGTTTAACCAATATTGCATGGTTGCCAAATAAACCCCACAAATTTGAGTGGAATTTTGATTGTTAAAATTTGGTTAACTCAAGCATGCATGCTTGTCACTTATTCCCAAACATTTGAGTAGAATTTTGAGTGTCAAAATTTGGTGATCTCAAATTTGCATGAACATGCAAACATGACTTTATAAATAGAGTGATCATAATACATGAAAGTTCTTCTTGTTGGTGAAAAACCTTGAGAAAAACCTCTCACAAACACTCTCTTCATATATACAAAATCCCTCCCAAGTTTAGTCACTCACCGTATTTCACAATCCCGTTCTAAGGCCGGAGGATAGTGGAGAAAACACTAGTGGTGGTTTGAAACCGGTTCGTGAGGAAAAAAGAATTTGAATTACAAAAGGTTAGTATTCAAACTTATTAAGTTTTAATACTTATGAACATGCTAGTTATTTACTATAATTGATGTTCTAAAAGTGCCAAAGATCCAAATTGCTTCTGCATGTGTTATATTAACACCTTCATGTCCATCATGTAGATAGTCTCGAACTCACTCTTTAAGATCTACATTTTTACTTCCTTGACTCGATCCACACCCAAACACATTGTCTGTAGCATCTCCCACACTATCTTTGTTGAGTCCTTCTCTACAAACATGAGAAGGATGTCCTCTAAGATTGCTTGGTAGATGACAAAAAAATTCATCCTATCCTTACTCTCCTCGACACCATTACCATACTTGATGGCGTTCCATACGTCTTGTGCCTGTAAATTAACATGCATCTTCATTGACCATGTTGCATAATTACTCTTCATGAGTAACAGGTACTGGAGCATTGTTGTAACAAGTTAAAAAGAAAAGGATAGAGCGATTCAATCTTGTCGGAAATCTCGCAATTTTTAGCGAGGAAAACCCCAAGAATTGAGTGCTCAACAGCCCACACCACAACAAAATCCTCCCCAAATAGCCGTCCATCCTCCAAGCTTCACTTGAAGTTGAGAGTGTAGTATACAAAGAGGGAGAATGGAAGACAAATGATTTTCGTTCCTCGAACTATGACGCCGACGACATCTCAGTTCAAGTTTAACATTCAACGGAGGACTAACCACGCCGTAAGAGAAATGACCAACAACCCAAAGTAGACCACGGTAAGCCATTCATGCTTCACATTGCTTCATTGTGTTTTTCTATAGCCGCCAGTGAACATATGATTTCACGTTAGGAGGTACATGCGAGACACTACAACGTTGTGGAGTGTAAGGCAAGTCGATACAGACTCATGGTAGTCGAGATATGAATGGAAGAACGGTGGAGTAGGACGCCAGAAACTCTTGGGAAGAGAAAGAAATGCAGTCATCTTTTTGAACAAATCAGGCGAGGAAGAAGAGGTCCATTGAATTTGAATCCGGTGTTGTATTCGACTTGGTGGCTCCAATGAGTCAAAATTAATGTATTCGACTTGGTTTCAAAATTTGGTATTGATTCCTACATTTTTTATCCTTCTGAAGCTGAATTTTACCTTATTTTTAAATTAAATTAAGTTAGGAATTCGACTTTTGAGTGAATATTCAAAGAATTGAATCCTTCACATCATTGAGAACAGATTCGAAGGATGAAAACAAGCTAAATTAGAAAGAGAATTTTGACTAAGGCCAACCAAGTAAGTAGCCTTACTATTGGTATGATTGAAAAAGTTGTGTTATGCATGATGACACGTGTCCAATGGCCTCACACATGTCATATGGGTATTATGTTTATGATATGATATGATACGAGAGGTTGATTTGACCCTTGATCGAAGTAGATAAACGAATAATCAAAATAGAAAGAACAACTTGAGAGCATTGAAGAACCTTAATCACTATCTTTTTCCATTCTTTTTGTAGTTGAAAATAAATCATACCTATAAACACTATTTACACGAGAGAAAATACGAACAATTTTACTCAATTTTCTGTAAAATACTAATAATTCTCGTAACAAAGCATTAATCATTCTTCTAAGTACTACAAGTTGATAGCGGCTAGTGATTCTCTTAAAGTTTCTACTCTAGTAACTTTCTTTTACTAAATCAAACTTATCATCAACCCGACAATAGTTATTAAAATTTTGATAAAATAATAAATTTGCGCTTATCTATACTGATTAGTTTAAGATAAGGGTGGTGAAAATTGACCATGACAAGATAAGCATAAATAAATTTAAAAATGAAAAGAGATGTTGCTACTACCAATACCCCACCATGATAGGAGAGGATCCATCTACGACTGCATCAAATTCTGACCAACAAAATAGAAACCGACACAATCCAATAAAAGCAATGGAAATCACGTGCTTCAAATGTTAACCAATCGTCATTATAAAAGCTAAACCATTTCTTCAAAACAAGTATCTTTTCAATGGCTCTTCTCCACCTCCCTCGTATAGCGTCCAAGTCGTCTGTCTTTTGGGTGGTCGGCGGTGGAGCTTCCATGGTCGGGAAAGCTCCCAACGATCTTGTTGTTGTTCGATGATTTACAAACTATCAACCTTCTCCCGTACTGGTAATATATATTAAGCGTGCTTTGATTCGAACCTATGAATTTACCGTTAATTTTAGATTTTAATATTTTTTACATTTTATTTGAATTAATACTAAATTAATTTAAAATAATTATGGCGTGAAATTTTATAGTAATTTTGATTGAAAAATATTGAAACTAATTTAATTATTATTAAATTAATTAATTTTAATTCACTCTTGCTGAATTGAGTATGCTTAACAAATTGATATATTTTCTTTAAAATTTGTGGGGATCGGGTACAATTCATTTTTTCTCATTTATTATTCTTTCAAAAATAATTATTTTAAAATTTTCGCATTCAAAAATAAAAAATAAAAAAGCCCTAATAAATTAATATATTTTCTAAGAATTCAAAATTTAATATTATACCATAGGTTTTTAGCTATTTATAGTATAATCTTTTGTTTAAATATTAAAATTATACTCTCAAAATTAACTAATTTATTTTTAGCATAGTCTTTAATTTAAATATTACATCGTCTTTACTATAGGTTAAAAATAAATATATATTCAATGATGTGGGGCGGGGAATTAGGTAGGGATGAAGACATGAAATTATTTCCGTCTTTGTCACCTATGTGCCCTGCTACCTCCTTTATTCCTCATCTAAATGGGGAATTCCTTCCCGGTTCCCGACGGATTCTCGCAATAAAATAGATATCTCTATTTAATAGTTCACATTTAAAAGTTGGGAAAAATATAAAAATGTAGTATTAAGAGAAATTGTAAAATCAAATTATTACTTGATAATTTTTTTGACACCGACCATTATTTTATTTAAGTGATTTTGAGTTATATTTTAAAAGAAATAAAGTAAATATACTGAGTATTGTAATCGTAAATTTCAGGGCATTGAACGTGGAATGTGCATAAAAGCATCAGCTCAAAGTGGTGATGTTATTGTGAGGCAATCTGCAAATTACAATCCTCCGATGTGGGAAGATGAATTTATTCAATCTTTAGACAATGAATTCAGGGTATGTATATATATATGCATATTCTAATATAGTCTTACCCTACGTAATAATGATAATAATCGTGAACGAGCTATCTTTTCATGTCAATATTTAGAGAGAAACATATCAAAGCCGATTCAACCAACTGAAAGGAGAAGTTAAGACACTGCTCGGAGAAAGACGAGAGCCTTTGGAGCAATTAGAGCTCATTGACGTTTTACAAAGACTTGGAATATCATACCACTTTGAGAGTGAAATTAAAGATATATTAGAAACAATAAACAAAATGTCCTATGAAGATGACGGGAAGAAGAATAGCCTCCACTCAACATCTCTTAAATTTAGACTTTTAAGACAACATCACTTTGACATTTCAGAAGGTTCGTATTACAGGATTTACTAGCTAAATCTTTGATTAGCAACATACAGTTAGTAATAATTTCCGTCGAATAGCTTAACCTAATATTACTTTTTACCAATGGACAGAGGTTTTCAATGCATTCAGAGATGAGACTGGAAATTTCAAAGCATGCCTTTCTGGAGATACAAGTGGAATATTATCTTTATATGAAGCTTCCTTCTTATCAACCGAAGGTGAAAGTATTTTAGAGGCAGCAAAATGCTTTGCAATCAACAATCTTAAGGAATACATCGAAACAAGCGAAGATGAACTCAAGGTAGAGATCGTAAGAAATGCCTTGAAGCTTCCCTTGCATTGGAAGATACAAAGATTGGAGGCAAGGTGGTTCATTGATATATATGAGAGAAAAGCAAGCATGAATCTTGTTCTTCTGGAAATTGCTAAGCTTGATTTTAACATGCTACAATATATCTACCAAGGAGATCTTAAATATGTGTCGAGGTAAGTATGATATTTAAAATATTTTAAACGATGCCATTTTTTTCAAGTGGCTCATTGATATTAATGACTTCAATGTGTTTTTTTCCTTTTTTTTTCTTTTTGTGCATGCAAAGTTGGTGGAGAAAAACGGAGCTCGGAAAAAAGTTGAGCTTTGCAAGAGATCAGTTGATGGAAAACTTCTTTTGGACAATAGGCATTGGATACGAACCCAATCTTGAATATTTTAGGAGAATGGGTACGAAACTTGTGGCATTGATAACAATGATCGATGATGTTTACGATGTCTATGGCACATTGGATGAACTGGAACTCTTTACAAATGCTATAGAGAAGTAAGTTTCATTTTCTTCCACCAAGCTATTTTCTTCATCATTTCCTCGAACAAATTATATCATAGAGTCTCTCTTGAGGCCTATGGAGCCCTCAAACAAACTTCTCTTAATCGAGGCTCAACTCATTCTCGAGAGCCCTCAAACAAAGTACACCCATTGTAAGAAAGTTGAGTCACCTTTGACTACACTTTCAAGACTCACAACTTCTTTGTTCGACACTTGAGAATTCTATTGACGTTATTATTTCTCTACTTAATGGTGAATTTAGGTGGGATATTGCTTCAATGGACCAACTTCCTGAATATATGAAACAATGTTTTCTTACTCTCTACAATTCGATAGATGAGATTGCTTCCGACGCACTAAGCAATCATGGAGTTGATGTCATGCCATACCTCAAGAAAGTGGTATGGACCCATAATGAGAATTTCAGATTTTCAAATGAACTAAAATACATTATATTATTGTCTAAACTATACCAAAACCTTATGGTGCAGTGGTTAGATTTGTGCAAATCTTATCTACTCGAGTCAAATTGGTATCACAGTGGTTATAGACCAACAATGCAAGAATATATCGACAATGCGTGGATTTCAGTAGCAGGACCAATTATGTTAGTGCATTCATATGTTTTTGTTTCACCTCAAATAACAAAGGTTGAGTTAGAGAGATTAACAGAATATCCCGACATAATTCGTTGGTCGTCAACAATCATGCGACTTGCAAATGACCTCCTAACTCCGTTGGTACGTGAATAACAACCTTTAATACATTTATACAAATGTTCTAAGCTAACACTTTTTTTTATGATATCTTATCATTTAGGAGGAACAAAATATTGGTGATGTTCCAAAATCGATTCAGTGTTATGTAAACGAGATGAAGCAGAATGAGACGGATGTTTCAGAGAGAAATGCTCGAGAATATATACGACATTTAATAGATGAGTTATGGAAGAAGTTAAATGAATTTGAAGATGACAAACTAGTGTCCTCTCAAACATTCATGAAAATGCCAAAAGATCTTGCTCGAATAGCTCAATGCATGTATCAATATGAAGATGGACATATCATAAATCACAACAAAATAAATGAACGTATATTGTCTATTCTAGTTCAGCCGGTTATGCTTCATAATTATAATAGACAATAAATTGATTAGAATAAAGTTTGTCTGAGTTATAAGGTTTTATTGTTTATTTTTCAAGTAATGTATGTAAACTTTATTTTTTTGCCCATGGTACGTGGTCTCAAATTTGACATTAAGCAACTACTTTGGTTTCCAAGTTTATTTCTAACTATAACATGGGAACAAAAAAAAGAAAACAGGAAAGATTAGAAGAATTGGGAGAAATCTCTCCTTCTATTGAAGAATGAAATTCGCTATTATATAGCATTACTAATGAAACAAAAATACTTGTACAAACCAGAAAAGTAACTCCATTCCCAACGGTCCAAAGATTCAAATCTTTGGAATATTCTGAACCCTTCCTAGATTGGAATATTTTGAACCCTTCCTGAACATCACAGCAAATATGATTAAAACATTTATAGCTCCCACGTAAATAAGGAGTTGAGCAGCAGCTACAAACTGGGCATTTGCTAAAATATAGAATAAGGATATAGAAACAAGAACCAGTCCCAACTAAAAAGTAGAATAAATGGAGTTATTAAATAATAGTACTCCCATACTTCCTAAAATAAGACCAGATCCGAACAAGACTACAAGAAAATCATGTATCGGTCCAGGCAAATCCATTATATGTAGTAAAAAAAGAGATAAAAAAATCTAAATGTTTTTCATGACCTTATTGATCTGACCAGGAAAAAAAATGGATAATCAATTCCTAATTAAATCTTAAGGGGTGTGAATTAATGTAAGTACAGTTACTGTATTAGTATTAATCTTAGTCTTGATCTGAAAGAGTACAGTAGATTGAAACTATATATTTAGAAATATATAGTTTCAATCTAAATTAAGCTGCAATTCTCATGAATCAATAGTTTGTATTTGTAGGTAGTGATCAAACAAACAAAACGAAAGAAACCTCATTTCTTTAGATCAAAACGGAACCTTAGTAATTTCCAATTACTCTTTAATCAAGGGATTTACTTATTTACTTATTTTAGACTTTAGATCAAAACGAACCTTAGAAACTTTAGTATGACAAAATCTGGTATGACTAAATCAAATGTAATTCAAATAACTAGATCAAATCTAATCCAAATAACTAGATCAAATCTAATCCTAACATTAAGTTGTCACAACTCAATTTCTTAAACTTCAAATCTTCAAGATTAAAAAGACGAAAACAAAATCAAATAAAAAATGAAACTAAGATAAAATATAAGATGAAAATGTAATAAGATTTAAATCAAAATAAAGATAACAACACCAAAATTAAATTCCAAATAGGATCCAATTATAATACCATGTTGTTTGAATTTATTACAAAAGGGAAAAATGTGGTTGAGATACAATTGCAAAAGAAAAAAAAAACAAAAATACAAAAGATTCAAAGACATAGACGGACTGACGCTTCGGAACGACCCCCTCTATGACCATACAGCTTTCGAACGCTCTTCCTACTCGACCGACACCCTGCGAAACACTAAAAAAAGTAAGACCAAGAGGTACTTTAGCTGCTTATGGACCCAACTCAACCAACAATGAGTGAGTATATAAATATATTCAATAAGTAACCTAGTAGGTATCCACATCTTTAACCTAGTAGGTATCCACAAACCTTACTTTAGAATCTTGGAAGTTCGGGCCTCGTCTTTACTGCTACGAAAGTATCTGGGGTTCCTTGAAGTTACAAGCGGTGCTTTAGCTACTCAAGGACCCACTCTGGGTATGATGGGGGTAATTCACTCATTTCTAGCATCGAAAGTCTTCAGGGCGACAAATCTCATATCTTGGGTGTACTATTTCTCATTCATAGACTTATATAGCTTGCTTTGCCTCAGAAGTATGTAACTGGTGCTTGGGTCGAGGTGCTACCTCGTAAAACTCTCTATCTCTAGTGGAGACAGCATGGTGTATACTAGCTAGTCTTATCATCCATGAGAGGTTAGCTGGAGAACCATACCCACATGACGATCGAGTCACCTAAGGTTTGAGGAGCGACCCCCTGCGCCTGCAAGCTATTAAGACTACCCACCTAATTCTACATTCCCTCTCAAGACAGATATGTTAGGTAGGATAATCCAACTAAACTATCAGTCACACAACCCTAACTAACCTAGGCATAACTTGATGGTACTGGTACCAGAGTGGAAATGGAAGTGGAAGCTCCGTTGACACCATCTAATGGTTTTGAAACTTCCTTTGTCTTGTTGAGTTGTAATAATCTTTCTGCTCTTTGACCATGACAACTTACTTTGCTTATGCAGTGAATGACTGGTGACCTAAATTAAGGTGAGAACTCATAAAATTCTGATGACACATTATTATGATTTCTAGTCTAAATATTATCCAAGGGAGGTTGGTTGCCCATTCCTCGAGACCATAAAGTCACCTTAACTTGGGGGATTCAATCTCCATGTTCTAACAAGTTTTTGGGCTATCTTACGTGGTCCCACCCTCCCCTTTCAAGAATGGGTTTATAGTACAGTGGTCCTATTTAGGACCAATGGTCATTCCACGAAGCTGAAGCTCACACTACCCTAACTAGCGTGTGCCTAGCTCATTACTGGAGTAGAAAGGGTAGTGAAGGGTCTAAAGACACCGTCACACTACTATCAACCTAAAGAACTACCATGATCATCCTTGGTTGTTGTGAAGGCCTAATAGGTTCTTAAGGGTTTCTAGGTGGTTTAATTTTATCCCTCATTTTCAAAACGCTCGAGGTTAGCTTATCGGGGCTAATTTAAGACCCAATGTGCACTCAGATTTAGACCTTTAATTGTTTCTCACGATCTTAGTGTGTAGGGTTTACTAGAAACATTTTGACTTATAAAGAAGGATGAGTTATTGTGATATGTGCTCCTGGTGATTTATGGATGTTATCTCCTCATTGTACTTGTTTGCTTCTATGTGTCCATGATACAACATGTGTTAGCTCCAAGTATTTAACTGTGTATTCTCCTTGTAGAGCATGTTTATTTGCACAGAGTTATGACACTAGAGTTAGGTTGGCTAGACGCTGACCTAGGTAAAGACACCTCCAATAGATTGAGCACCTTAGTGTCATGAGCAACGGTCGGAGGGTCTAGACCCTAGTGCTCCCAAACTAAGAAGACTTAGAGGAGTCAGAAAATGGGAGCCTGGAGTTGGAAGTCCAAGGTAAGCCACCTAGCCACCTTCGGAATACAATTGACCTCCTTGGTTCTCAAATATGACTAAGGTGAAGTTTGAAGTGTGGATTACATGCTTAATCGACAGGAATATCATCCTAGTAACTCATGTATAAAAGAGCTTAGTTAAAATTCGAGTGCTACAACTAATGCGGTTTACATGTTGACCCAAGTCAGTATGATTCAAGTAGACCTTACACCCCAAGATCATGAGTGTTAGCTTTTTGGTCCTTAATCCCACTTCAATTAATTGATTAATGTTTTGATGATAACAAATCTTCTTTTAATTATTAATTATTTTCAATATTTTGAACTGTCTACAGTATAAGGTTGGGAATAATGATTTTAACGACTTTTCAATTACTCAAATCAGAGTTAAAACGAAGAAATTACAGTTAGACAACATTCCTGACGTGATGTGGCAGCAAAATCAAAATGATGGACAAATCAAAGTATATCAAAGTATGACACTTATCATTTTAGGAGAGTAACAAATGGTGGGTTTTTTCTTATTATTATATTTTTAAATAAAATTATTTTTATAAAATATAAATTTGAATCTAACAGTTACTCACATCACATCGATTTTTATTAGTATTATATTATATTATTATATTATTATATTTTAAAATTTTGGTAGTTACTCACGTAGTTTTTATTATTATTATATTATTATATTTATAATAAATTTTGAATTTTTCATTTTTCATTTGACCGTTACATAACTTTTTATTATTATTAGCTTCCAATTTTATTTTTATTCATCCTATTCTTGAGAGAGATTTTTTGATTGTATGGTGAAAAAATAATGGTGAGTGCTTCAAATTATAAATTTACTCTTTGAGTGAGTTATGGTGTGTTACTACCAAAATTCAAATACTTGTACCGATTTGATCCTGTGTCGTGGAAAGGATTGAGTTTTCTCTTGAACTCGTAAAAAGAGCGGTGTAGTGGTTTGGATCCGCAGAAAGAGTCAAGAAATTTCTTTATTCAAATTCTCAAGAGGCGCTTGGGGAGTGGAGTAGGTCGGGTTGCTCTTATAGATTTTTTATCTAAACTTTATTGTCGAGCTTATGGCAAACCTACGTGTTAAAAATGGTTTTATTGAAGGACAATCAACTTCTAGGCCCCCTTATTTTGATGGAAAAAATTATACATGTTGAAAAGGTAGAAGGAAAACTTATTTGCAATCGGTTGATTATCAATTGTGGTTAAATGTTAGTATGTTAATAATATTGAAGTGCCTAAATTAGAGGAGGAATTTGATAAGCATGATATGAAAAAATGTTCTTTGAATGCTAGTGCTATCAATTGTCTTTATTGTGCCTTAAGTAATGATGAATTTAATAGAGTACGTATGTGTTCTTCGTATATGAAATTTGAAAAACTCTTGAGGTAACTCATGAGGGAACAAATCAAGTTAAAGAAACAAAAATTAGCATGTTAATTCATAATTATAAACTATTTAAAATGGATGAACATGAACCTATTGGTGATATGTTTACTAGATTTACTAATATTATAAATGCTTTGAAAAATCTTGGAAAAGTATATTCTACTCCCGAAAATGTAAAAAAAATTATTAGGTCTTACCTAAAAGTTGGGAGACAAAAGTGACGGCGATTCAAGAAGCAAAGGATCTCACAAAGCTTCCTTTGGATGAGCTCGTTGATTCTCTCATGACACATGAGATTACCATGAAGGGGCACATGGAAGAAGAATCCAAAAAAAAGAAAAGTATAGCCTTAAAGTCTATCAAAGTTGACTCTAAAGATGAGGACATCCTTGATGAAGATGATGTCGCCTACTTCACATGTAAGTATAAAAATTTTATTAAGAGGAAGAAACAATTCCAGAAACATTTCACCAACCACAAAGAGTCAAAAGGTGAAAAG